TGGCCGCCAGCTGTCCGTTCTTCTTCATGCACACGTAGCGCCCATTGCTGGCCTTGAGGGCCACCCGCCGGCCGCGCCACTCCACCTCGAACATGGTGCTGGCCGAACTGAGGGGCAGGACACGGGGCTCAGGGCCAGGGCTCCCAGCCCCCTCGAGTCCAGTACCACCCCCGGGGGAGGGACAGGCACCTGCCTTCCACTAATATGCCCACCCCATTCCTTTAAGAGCTGTCCCCCACCCCAGTAGGCATTCCTCCCTGGCTGGGCTGCTACAATATCCTGGTGATGGAGGTGGTGATGGAGATGGTGGTGATGGAGGTGGTGATGGTAGTGGTGGAGGTGATCCCAGCCCCCTCGAGTCCAGTACCACCCCCGGGGGAGGGACAGCCTCCTGCCTTCCACTAATATGCCCACCCCATTCCTTTAAGAGCTGTCCCCCACCCCAGTAGGCATTCCTCCCTGGCTGGGCTGCTACAATATCCTGGTGATGGAGGTGGTGATGGAGATGGTGGTGATGGAGGTGGAGATGGTAGTGGAGGTGGAGGTGATGGAGGTAGAGGTGGTGGAGATGGTGGTGGTGGTGGAGGTAGAGGTGGTGGTGATGGAGGTGGAGGAGGAAGTGGTGATGGAGGTGGAAGAGATGGAAGTGAAGGTGGTGGTGATGATGGAGGTGGAGGAGGAAGTGGTGACGGAGGTGGAGGAGATGGAAGTGAAGGTGGTGGTGGACGTGGGGTGGGGATGGTGCCCTCACACTTGCGTGGCTGTGGCCTGGATGCCCCCGTGGGTGACCAGGGTCCAGTAGCCCCCGGTGCTGGAATAGAAGGTGCACTTCTTTGTCTCCCGGTCAATTTGCATTAGGAAGGTCTCGTGGTCCAGCTCTTCGTCTTGGTTGGCTGAGACGTTGACCCCTGCAGGGAGGAGATGGGAAGCCCCTCACGCCTCTCCCTGGGCGGGCGGGGAGCAGACGTGGGGAAGCATGCTCCTGGGGCAACCCCGAAGCCAGAGCGGCTCATCGAGAACCTGAGAGGGTTCAGAAGGCACCTCTCCAGGGTCTGGGAGCTCTGCCCCAGGGCCACAGGGGCACGTGGAGCCCACACACCTCCGACCACAGCCCAGGAGCCAGGCCCTTCCGCCGGCAAATCCCGGGCCTGGCTAGTCAGCAGGTGATCTGCGTCCCCCTTGGCCCAGCACTCGCACCCGCCTCTATTTACATCTCGGCTGAACCTGTGTCACCTCCCCAGCCTCCCACTCACATGTGGGGTCTCCCAGGAGTCCCAGGGGAGGGCAAGGCTACCCACAGCACTGCCTGGGGTTCAGATCAAGGGTGGCCAGTGAATGAAAAATGGTCCATACAGCCCACTCCTCACCACCATCATCCTCACCATCTCCAAACCAACACCACTGCCAACTTCATCAACACCAACACCACCACCACCACCATCATCACCACCACCACTACCATCGCCATCATCACCACTAACACTACCAACCCCACCACCATCAACACCACCACCACCATCACCATCATCACCACCACCACCATCGCCATCATCACCACCAACACTACCAACCCCACCACCATCAACGCCAGCATCACTACCAACACCACCACCACCATCATCACCACCATCACCACCAACCCCACCACCACCAACGCCATCATCACTATTAATACCACCACCACCAGAATTGCTGGTAGGACCCCCAGCACCATCTCTGTCACCACAGCCACCCTCACCACCAGCGCGGCCACCTCGTCTCCCACGCCCCACGAGGCTGCTCACAGCTGGACACGTGCAGGTGCTGTGCCCACCATCTCCTTTGACCCAGAAGCAGCTTTTTCGCATTCTAACCTGCATTTCGCTGACAAACCAAGCACCGGGGCCGGGCCCGGGCCGGATGCCGGGGGAGCTGGACTACAGGCCTGTGCTGGGCGGGACAGGGCTGTGCACCCTCCGCTGGAGCCAGGACCCGCCGCTGCCAGGACCAGTGACAGGGTGTTTGCGGGGTCCCCCCCTCCCCCCACTGGATGGGCTGAGGGCCCTGACTACAGGCAGGTCCCCTATAGCCCGAGTGGGCACCCTCCCCGGCGCTCATGCTGGGCCTCTGCCCTCCGGACGGGGGTGGCATTGTGCCAGGTCAGGGTGTGTCGGCCACTCCTGGGTGCACAGAGCCAGGAGCCCAACCAGGGGAGGCAGCTGAGACCGC